GGAAATGCATTTTGAAGCATGAAATTATTCAAAAGAAAAAAATATAAGACAGCAGCGCAAGCACAACTAAATACTGTATAAACACATCTTTTTGTAGCATCTATCTTTCAAGGAGAGACATTCGAAAGCTTTTCTAGTGCGAAATATGTTCTTCCCAGTTTAGCACAGAATGTTCTTCAGACTCCGCTTGAAGTTGTAAATTAAAGTTGTTCACATTAGTCAAGTTACTAACTTCGCACTTCAGATTAAATAAGTGAGTTTTCAATCGGGGAAAACATAAAATACAAATCCTTCTACAAACAAAACGCATCGTTTTAATTATCGCGGAGAACAATTGCAAACTTTTAATTTTTCCTTCGAAGTCAATAATGTTCCCCAAGTTTCATGACAGTCTTCGTCACTCGACAGATGTCGCTCTTTATTTCGTCGCGCCTTATTCATACTTGCGTAACATTCCGTAAATTTAAATCCGAGGGTCATCAGATTCAATCACTATTTTGTTCAGGCATTGCTGGAATTTCTGGTTGTCAGGTCATTTATTCAAGTAAACAAAAAAATTGGGATCCCACGAATCCCCACGAACGTCAACCACGAGATTGAAAAATAAAATAAAATAAAGTACTGTACAATATATGCAAAAAGTATTTGGTACTTACACGAATAATTTGCCAAAGGAGACCGAGGACCAAATGAGGCTTTCCTTTTGCCAAATCGTGCGCGTCGATGTTGATCACGTTGCAACCGATGGCTTGGGCGGAATTCAGCGCCAGTGTCAAATTTTCGTGCTTCGTGTAAAGCGTCAAGTTCTTCTTATTAATCGCCCGTTCGTCAATCGTGTCCGGACACGAATGATTAATTATTTTGCTGAGTCGAAAGGAAGAAATCACCATTGAATTGCATGTATTAAAACGTTAGTTTCACGGTTGGCCAAATACTAACCACAAGAGGATCCCGTCCTTGACTTTCTCGTACAACCCTTTGCCCTCGGCGTCGATCGGCAGCAAGTGCCTCAAGTCCAAATCAGGGCCCAGATTTCTAATTTCAACCACAAAAAAATCGAATAACAAGATTTTTTAAATACTTTTTTCTAGAGGCAAACAAAAATCATGCGTTAAAAATCGGGAATTTGCAGCAGTCGATTGTTCCAACATCCCCCTGAATTCATTCCCTCGGGCTCGGATTGGCAGGAACAAACGATCCCTTCTCACGCTTTTATTTGATCAAGGAAATTCCGGAAGGAAGTTTTTTTTTTCTTTCAAAACGGCACACAAAAGCGGGAAAGGAGAAATTCACAAAGGGACGGGAAAAAGGCACACCACGGAAAGATGCCGAAATAGATTAGGAATCGGGTAGAATTCCCGACGTGCCTTTCACCAATCTTCTACAGTACTTTTCTTTTTTATGAGCTCAGGTAAACGTTTGATAATCGCAATCATTCTCACAAGAACGTGCCTTTACGGACACTTTAAAGGGGCGGAAATTACAGTCATGTACAGTGAAACACAGTACTTTATGGCTCAACAGCGATGTCGGAAATGTATTTCCAGTGATGTGCAAGAAGCGAACCGCAAGATATTTTTCAAAAGCACTGTTTTCGAAAATTTTTGAAGGAGCATTCAAGTAGGGAAAATCGATTCGTATAAACTCAAATTTTCGCATACAGTATATGATTGAACTTGACGCAGGACGATTCATCGTATTTCCCATGAAAAAAATCATTTGGAAATTGCAGGAACAAATGATTTGAAGCGAGTGGCCTTTTTGAGCTGAATCCCCAAACCTTGACTTACATCTTGATCGTCCCAACTTTCAAAAATATTCGAAGAACGGCATTTAAAAAAATTTGTTATACATCAGTTCGATCTTGATTCAAATTTTTCTAGTGACATTTTCCTATTTCTAAATCACAAAGGAGAACCAATTAAATAAATTTCCATTAAAATCTTCGGGGAAAACGTGATCTGACATGCGGATGTTCCAACCAACACAGGGACAAGGTCCAAGTACCAGTTATGTCCACATCTCGGGACCCAACCAATTTCGTTTCGATCTTGATTTTTTTTTTCTGGTCAGCACTTATTCCGGGTAAACACGCTCATGTTATCCACCTATATTTTTAAAGGGTTGCACCTTGCAACCAGACATTTCAAGCACGCCGTACACAAAAATAAATAAATAAATGCAAGTACAGTACTGTACTGCACTGTGGTCTACAATGTTTACCCAAGGTGTCAAATATAAGTAAAATATTTCTCGTACGTGTTGATCCAGTCGGAAAAGGCGAGCTGTTCTTCCAGTCGCACGGAGTGCGTTGTGCCAACTGACGACGCGTCCGACATGCCGCCGATTGTCTCCAAGTTCTCGCGTCGGGACACCACTTGTTTGAACGTGGCTCCGATCTCGCGGGACTTGAGGTCCGCGCAAAGCTGCACAGCAAAAAAGAAAGGGCAACATTTTGCGTGGAAATTAGGAAAGGATGAAATAAAATACGGCACGTATATACCGTAATTCACCATTGTTTAAAACAGCTCTTAAGATAGCTACAATTTTACAGATGGGAGAGACAGAGAAGAACAAGAGCCTGAGGCGTGGCCTCTGGTGGCCGAGTTTCAGCGCAAGATTCAAATCAAGGAAGATTTTGCAACTTTCCAGAGAGATCATAGAAGAAAAATATCACATGCAGGGACAGTTGAACCTCGATAACTCGAACCTCACTATGTCGTTTTTTTTCTCTTTTTAAATCCCCGCCTGGATTCCCTTACGAACAATTAACATTAACAACCTCAATACAGTAACTTATAATTTTTTCCCCAAACCTCCATTACTCTAAATTTCTGGGGATATTTTTGCTATTATTTTATTGACACAGGTAAGAGACAAGCAATAAAAAAAATGAAATTTATATGTTTTGAAAGGAATTGAAAGATATAATTGGGCAAATCAAACATTGCCTCCAAAGTTCAGAATTCTGTCAACTCATTGAAAAAGCAATAAGCCCTTTAATCACCAAATAAAATTTAATGTACTGTAATTTTTCTCATAATCAAGATAACTGAGCTTGTATGAGTCAGTCTCTCCAACAAAATTTGGTAACCGTTTTTTTCTCAATCGACAAAAAATTATACGGTTAAGCCCTTTTCAGGAAAACGCTTGACTCGCTCCTTTCTTCCGCGTTCAATATCTCAATCATACAGATTTTTATTTTTTTTATTTTTTATTTTTTGTTCCCATGAGAAAATCGGATTCAGTCTTTCAATACAACAAACGGGGGAAACAAAGAGAAGATAAGACAGTCCACCTGACGAAATTCGTCGAATGATAGTCGACCCGATCGATCCCTGTCGACCTCTTCCACCATCTGTCGCACCTTCCATTGCGGTAACTTGAATCCCACGATGTCAAGGGCACTCTTCAACTCCGCCACTTCGATGTATCCGTTTCCATCTCGATCAATCTGAAATTAAAAGCACGAGATTTCCAATTTATTCACGAGTAAAATTCACGCATTTCCAAGATTTAAGAATAAATAAATACATCATTTTTTCGGAACTTCATGAGTAAATCAAAAGAGCCTTTCTTTTGCATCNAATCTCCATCATTTTACTTCCATTCGATGTCCTATCAACAAACGTCAAAATGCTCAAAGTTGTGAACGCATGCATACAATTTTAAAACTGCTGAAAATTCCCCCCGTCATTTGGCTAAAAAATCATTTTATGAAACATATTTCCCAAATTTTGGGAATCAATACCAAAATTTGACGCAAGCAACAAATTCGTTCATCTTGAAGCCTTCATCCGTGAAATTTCTCGCTCATCAGCAGAAATTCAACGGCAATCCTCTCATTCCTCATAACTCGAAGCTAAAGTGTTGAAAAGCTCAATTGCTTGCAATAATTCGTGATTGAAACTTGAAATGCGTTTCAATGAAATAAAAAAAAGTTAACGTGTAAAATATTGCTCCTCTTTCAGCGCGTTCCACTCTTCCATTTCCACCTCGGTCGGTGAAAACTGGAAAAAATGGTCGTCAAAAAATGAAAAATATTTTTTTTACGGATCATTTTGTAACTTCAAGCACGGGAAGTGAAAGACTGGCATATTTCACGAACCATACCATCACATTACGCAAACGTCCCGATTTTTTCATACCGAAAAAGCAAAAAATAACCCGTCGGAATGTACATCAAAGCGTCAATGAAAAAAAAGCGCCATTTTCTCTCGACACAGACACGCAACTGAAATTTCTTTATCAAAGTTGCGCTACATTCGTCTCAAATTGATAACCGCAGACCCGCTCATTAACCCTGTCGCCGAAATAGATAAGCACCAATTAAGAGTAGAATTATCTTTACTTAGTACGGTACTTGCTGAAGAAATCCTCTTCAAACATGACTTCACATGCGAGGCTTCGACAAAAAATGAGGCTCTGGACTCATTTCATCGAAAAAAAGGAAAAAACAACTCTTGAAAGTCGCTGGCAATTTTCAGAGCGAGCCAAGAGAATTTTTCGCCGGTTACTTCAAAAAAATTGCAGAACAAATGAGTTCTTCGAAAAGCCAAAGCCTGCCAAACCTAACCTGTTTACAAATTTTGAAACCTTCTCCAAACCTGAGGCTTCCAAAGAACTAAACCAGAAATAGGGTATTTCTCCACACAAAAAAGGACTTTGGCTTACTTCCAGGGTTTTTTACAAATTCGTCGACTTCATCAATTAAAAAATCACGCAGTCTTTTTCTCTAGAATAACGCAATAAATTTCCTAAATCTAACGCTGAGTACTCGTTAATCATGACAAAAATAAATTTAAATTGCTCCACATTTGGCCAACAGCATAAATTCCCGAGATGTACGTCATACAGAACAAGAGTTTTTAAATATATCTTACAAGAATTGTCCTAGTATCATTCAAAGTAGAATGGGCAACAAAACAGAAATTGTGAACTTTACATTTCAATATTTTTTCAAGGGCTCCTCAGTCATTTTGTCTTATTTGTTTAATTGCACGACTTTGTCATTTTCTTAAAGCAATTCAGGTTGAGAATTATAACCAATTTCAACGTTGTAATACTGATACTGTAAAATCTTGTTACAACGAAAGCCATTGGGAACAGTTGAATAATTTTGTTATAACAAAAAATTTGTTATGAACAATCTCAAATAATATTGCAGATACTGGACAGGGATCTAAAAAAAGAACTCGTTGATGTGAATTACTCGTCATAAAAAGATTCAAGGATAAATAATAAATCAAAAATACGTCATCATTTTGAACATTTATTTTCATGTGGATTTTCACAGAAGAATAAAAGCATTATTTGCGAAGTACTGTACATCATTTGAAACTTTTTGATAGTCCCTACAAATCAATATAATAAATCTATCCAAACTCGACAACCCATTAGTCAAGAAAAAAATATTTAGCAGACAAAACCGCTATTCAATCAAAAATGTCTCAATTTGTCGTGACCTTATACTCTCCATCTCTCAATTGCCTGAAGAGATTGCTGCTTGAAAATCTAATTGCGGGCCACAGTAGCAAATGAATGAATGAATGAATGAATGAACAGAACACTTTATTTGCCGCTTTTCAGCGTTCACAAGGTTAAATCAAGATTTCCACAACCAAAACCCCTTTCCACCCAACCCAAATCCACTCAATGACATTTAATCACTTCAGAGCAGGAAACAGAGCACAAATTGATAACAAAAAT